GGGGGAAAGGGGAAACAAAAAGCAAAAATGAACTATTGAGACTTCATCAAGATGAAAAGCTTCTGCTGTCTATGAAAGAAACAATCAACAAAACTAAAAGGCAACCTACGGAATGGGAGAAGATATTTGCAAATGGCATATCTGATAAAGGGTTAGTATCCAAAAATCTATAAAGAACTTATCAAACTCAACACCCAAAAAACAAATAATCCAGTTAAGAAGTGGGCAGAAGACATGAGTAGAGCTTTTTCCAAAGAAGACATCCAGATGACTAACAGACACATGAAAAGATGCTCAACATCACTCATCATCAGGGAAATATAAATCAAAACTATGATGAGCTATCACCTCACACAAGTCAGAATGGCTAAAATTAACAATAGGGGAAACAACAGATGTTGGCAAGGATGCAGAGAAGGGGGAACCCTCTTAACACTGTTGGTGGGAATGCAAACTGGTGAAACCACTCTGGAAAACAGTATGGAGGCTCCTCAAAAAGTTAAAAATAGAACTACCCTATGACCTAACAATTACACTACTAGGTATTTACCCAAAGGATACAAAAATACTGATTCAAAGGGACACATGCCCCCCGACATTTATAGCAACATTATCAACAATAGCCAAATTACAAAAGAGCCCAAATGTCCATTGACTGATGAATGGATAAAGAAGAGGTGGCACACACACACACACAGGAATATTACTCAGCCATTAAAAAGAATGATATCTTGCCATTTGCAATGATGTGGATGAAGCTAGAGCGTATTATGCTAAGTGAAATAAGTCAGTCAAAGGAAGACAAATACCATTTGATTTCACTCATATGTGGAATTTAAGAAACAAAACAGATGAACATAGAGGAAGGAAGAAAAAAAAAGAGAGGGAGGCACACCACAGGAGACTATTAACTATATGGAACTTTTTTCACAATAAGTCTTTAGGTGTGGAGATTTAATAGTGTAAAATAAGCTCAGGAAATTTAAAATCAGTTCACATGTCATAAACACTTAATAAAGTGAGTGTGTAGAGTATTGTGTTGGGCATTTCCCCAAATTCTCTTTTACCCAGTGCTTTCTTTTAGCATCAGTGACATGACTGCCATCCTGTAATACTCTGCTCTTTGAGAGCAGATTATGGGTTTCTACTTTTGTATCCTCCATAGCTCAAGCACTTTGCTTTTCAAAGAATAGCACTAAGTAGATATTTGTCAAAATCAATGTTATCAACAGTTCTGGTTTTTATGAGGCAGTTCTGCTTCTGCCCATCCCTGTAACCCAGGCTGTCACTAACCACAGACTGACCCCTGGAGGACATCTTATTCAGGTCCATCATCTTCACAGCATTGCATGTATTGGACTTCACCAGATTCCCTGTCCCCATCCAACCACATCTCCCCCGTTTCCTGAGCCATCTGAAATACTTTCTGTGAAGTGCTGATAGAATGTACCACTCTGTGAGAATATGGTGGTTGCTAATGGTTTCGTTTTTTTAGCTTCCCAATTAATATAGTTATAACTAGTTGTTATTAATAATGTAACAACAATTAAAATAGCTACCATTTATAAAGAAGGGGTATGGCACATGGTATATTAACACTAATTATTGGATCATTATAATTACCAGTGATGATGACCATTGTTATTAGTATTAAGCTTGAACTGAACTGGACTTCTTTTTTCTCCTTTTTTGGTATTATCTCAAGTAAGCTATTAGAATTATAGTTATTTCATGTCCACTAGTTGATTTGAAATAAATAAACAAATCGTGTGTGTAGGTGTGTGCGTGTGTATATCATATATGTGTGTTTATGCTGATTTCAAAGCAACTCAAAAGCTTTACAGAGTTGGTGGTTAAGGAGCTAACTTCTGTGACTTAGTCAAGTTATCTAATGTTGCTGAGTCCTAATTTTCTCATTTGTAAAAAGGAATAATTATAGCACCTAACTCAGAATTTTGAAGATTAAGTGACATAATAAATATCTATTGTGTTACATAATAGCACTTGCTAATGTATGTTGTTATTTGTTTTTTATTATTACTATTTTTTAAAAGAACTGGAAGAATGCAGAAATGCAAAAAGAAAAGTAGTCACCATTTAATTCCATTATTTAACCACCATTAACATTCTAGACTATATACTTCTTATCTTTTCCTGTTTATATGTATGCCTAAGTATGTTAAATTTTTATAAAATTAGAAATTATTATTACCACTTTATAATTTGCTTTATCAATTTACTTTTCTGTGTCTAATATAAAGTCTTGTATATGATATTATTCATTGCATATTAGCCCATATATATGTGTTTTATAATTTATTCACTGGATATTTAGATTTCTTTGAATTTTTCACTCTTATAAACAACAGAAATCTGATATAACTTGAATATACACCTTTTGGTACATATTTAATTAATTTTTGGCATAAATTTGTAGGCAACCATTTAATAAGCTATAGAATATTTAAAAATTGACACTTTAATTAAGACTTTAATTTCCATCAATAGTGTATGAGACTTCTAGTTTCTATATAATATTCCCAAGCCTGGGTAGTATATATGTATATATTTTTTATTTTACCCAATCTAATGGCTTCTGTGCAATATGGGAAAAGTCATTTTAATTCTAATCCTAGATTCCCAGCCTGTAAAACTAACTAATGGGTATAAAATTCAGAACTACTGTCACAGGTCCTAAAGTTTATACTGATTCCAGTGCTGGTTGATGCTCAATATTTGAAGTGTAGCTCAAATGAGAAAGGACTGTGGTGAAGTTGGGTTAATACCCAAAGAGGCTGAAGGGATGACTATTGAAGAGCATTCTTGTGAATGTTGTAACTGTCCAGACTATCCCAGTGTTGATCCCACTTGCAAATTCTAATTCAGAGAATGATATAATTAACAGTCATAATTCAAATTTATGATAATTTTTATTGCTGTCTATCAGGTAAACTGTGTACTTCATAAGGGCAGGGATCTTTGTTTTGTTCACTCATCAGTATCTTAAGCACCTAGCACAGAACTTGACACACAGTAAGGGTTAAATAATAAATGTCTATTGAATGAACAAATAAACTGGATGAAGCTACCGTATACCTGTCAAGAGGCTGAATGACCTGGTAACTGGCAGAATTCCCTTCCCAGCATGAGTGTGAGTAAGCTGCCATGATTGAGGCCTCTTGGATTTGCCTTTTCCCAACAACCATGCTGTGTCCCATGACACACCCTTTCTCAGATATGTTAATACCTTCAGCCTAGTTAAGATTTGGCCTCCCCACTATAGTCCATATTCTTCACAGTGATGTTGGCCCTCTCTGCTCAAACCCATTATGTCTTAATAATTATAACTCAGAGGGTAGTATTATTTCCAAGTTCTTAGGGATACCCCATTGTTGCACCTTTGTACAACCTAGAACCACCACCTAATAGGAGAGCTGTGAATATATTATATGGGATAATATATAATGTAAAATATAGAACTATTCATCTAGGCACTATTATGTAGTGGTTAAAAGCCCAGGCTCAGGAGCCAATTCTCCACAGTTCAAATCTGGATTTTGCAACTTAAAAGCTGTGTCATCTTAAGCAAGTTACCTGATGACACTGTGTTCAGTTTTCTCATCTGTAAAATGCAAATAGTAGTTTCCTTATAGGATTAATGTGTGGATTAAATGAGTTAGAGCATGTGAAGAAATATGAATAGTAAGTAAATATTACCTATTTTGATAAATATTATTAGCAGTAATAATAACCTCATTGAGAATGTACTGTGTGCCAGAAACCAAATGTACATTGTCTCAGGTAATCCTTAAAACAATTCTATGGACTAACTATTATTGTTATCACTGTTTCATTAATAAGGATATTGAGGCTCAGAAAGTTTTAGTAACGTCCTAAAACCGTATAGCTGGTGAGTGGTAGAACCTAGATTTAACTGCAGATGTGTCCAAAATATTTTCTCATGGAGAAATTTTTTTTTAACAGAATCTGAAATATCTGCATTTTCATTGACAGTATAATTTCTAATATCTGTTTTCTAGCCTTTTTAATCATGATCACAACCTTAGAACATTTTTCAAGAAATTAACTTTCAAAGCATGTGAATATTTAAACATCCATCTATTGACCTGAGGATCTACAATTTCTAAAGACTCTCAGCGTCACTTATAGTGATTTTACTATGGTCCAGTTCACCAATCTCTGTATTTCCTCTACTAGGATTTTGGCAAAAATCAGTCAGTTAAATAAATAAATACAATTTAAAAGCTATAGGGTGGCAAATGATGACCAGGACAGACAAGCTGTGTTCCATGGTGTGAGTTTGGTAAGCTTATAAACAAACCTTTTATAATCTCATGAAAAGAATAGCTATCCTTGCAAGATCAAAATGTCAACCTTTCAGGATTCATTTTCAACACCATACTGAAGTTACAGCTCTTACCTAACAGTGATTCTGTACCCAGTGTGGAAGTCTTGACATTAGCAGTAGTAGAGACTCCTCTATTGTAAAGTAACTGGCTGACTGCGTGTGCTGTGTGTGACCAAAATCCTTCTCATTGCAGTGACAGACTTGAAATTTGAACACTTTTCAGACATCCCTACCACCCAAAACAATGAAAACTGAAAAGCAATCCATTTACAGATGTAAATTTAAAAAATTTACAAAAAATACAGCTGCTGTATTTGTGGGCATAATTTACTATGACATATTTGACAGATTATTTTTTATGTCCTTGAGATTTATTTATTTTCATTGAAATATGCTATAAAATATTGTTACCTTTTTCCAGGTAAATGAATTGGGATATTTGGTTAAAGTGTCTTTCATAGTCGAGAGATTTAGACAATGTACTGAGAGCTAGCATGGCCATGAATTGGCAGAGTGGTGGTAATTTGTGCATGATGCATATTCAGGAAGCACATTAGAATGTTAGCTATGATAGCATGGGTTTGCACAGGATTCAACTTGAATTTGAAGATCTTATTTTTCTCTTCAACAGGTTAATTATGTATGGCTTTGTGAAAGCTATGGTATATGCTGGCCAGTTGAAAAATGGAGACTTCCATTTCACTGACTGTTTGTTTTTTGGTTCACTGATGTCAGCTACAGATCCAGGTAATTGCTCAAATAGTATGTTTTTTTTTTTCTTTTTAAGAATCAAAAATTTAAATTAAATGTTTCTCTAAAGACCATCACCTGAGTCTACATCCTAATAATTCCTTATTCCTCTTTACTTGCAGTTGATACATGTATTAGTGATTAAAGAAAGAAAGAAAGAAAAGAAATAGGTGAATATCCTAATAGCTTTCAAAAAAATGGATCTGAAAACAATTTCAGTAGTGGGAATTTCAGAATTTAAAATTCATTACAGCTTATTTCTCTAGAATGTAGAGACATTTTGAGCTATAGACCTTATTTTTTTATCCAACTTGTCTTCTTTCAAAAATGATCTACTGAATTAAAGGGTAAAAAATATTTTCAAAAAGATTGTTTATGGGCACCTTGAGTGGCTCAGCTGGTTAAGTGTCTGCCCTTGGCTCAGATCATGATCCCAGCGTCCTGGGTTTGTCCATTGGCAAAGCCCATCCATTGGGCTCCCTGCTCAGCGGGAAGTCTGCTTCTCTCTCTCCCTCTACCCCTCGCCCCTGCTCGTGCTCTCTCTCGCTCTCTCTCTCTCAAGTAAATAAATTAAATCTTAAAAAAAAAATTGTTTACTATGGAGCTTTTCAAACACATTAAGGGTAGGGAGAATAATAAAAAGAATTGTCATATACCCTTCAGCAATTACCAATACGGCCAATGTTTTTGTCTATACCCCCCTATACTCCCTTTTATCATGACTGGATTATGTTAGAGTAAATCTCAGACATTATATCATTTTATTTGTAAATACTTTGAAAAATGAGCATTGCTATTATGAAACCTAAAAATATTTATAATTATTCTTTAATATTATCAAAGAACTAGTCTCTGTTCAAATATCCTCAAATGTCTTTTTATCATTATCATTATTAGTTTGTGTAATGGTTAGGGTCAAATAGGGCTGCACATTACAATTGATTAATATGACTAGTGAGTCTCTTTTAATTTATATGTTCCCCCTCCATCTTCTATTTTTGTCAGTTATTTGTTTGGGGGAAAAGTAGGCACTCTGTCTTGTGGTTGAACTGAATATGGCTCCTTAAAATGTTCCCTTATACCACATATTTCTTGTAAAACTGATGGTTAAATCTAGAGGTTTAATGAGATTTATGTTCATCTTTTTGGGCAAGATTACTTTATAGGTTTCTATAGCAAAACATCACATAGTGATTAGTGACTCAGCTGTCAACCTGACTCATCACACTATTGTACAGTTTCTCCAACAAAAACCACCAGAACACACCTGTAGCTAAACAAGATGTGTTTTTTTGTTTTAAAGATTTTATTTATTTATTTGAGAGAGAGAGAATGAGAGAGAGCACATGAGAGGGGGGAGGGTCAGAGGGAGAAGCAG